GAATTCAACTAAGCATGTGAATGAGAATAATTGTATACATTATGGAATAATTCAATTAATTAATCAAGAATCAAGAATTCAAATTTTAATTTTCACCCTAAAAAATAATTTCATAATTTAATATAAATAATCATAGAATCATATCAATAATCAATAACCAATAACCATATTAGTGCATTACCATATGATTCTATACCAATTAAAACTCATTCGTATTAAATAATTAATTAGGGTTAAGGATTATAAATTTAGGAATTAAAAAATTTACTAAAGAATGGCTTTGAAGGCTGCAAGACGTTGCTGGAGAGTGGCTGGAGATTGATTAGAGCTTGGAGAGTGGCTGGTTTTCCGTCCGCTGGCTGCCAAGTTGCTGCGCAACTGCTGGGATTTTTTTTGGGGGGGGGGGGGGGGGGGTTGGTGGGGCAAGCTTTGCTCTCTGATTTTTTTTTTTTTTTTTTTTTTTTGAACACCGCTTTGCTCTCTGATTGGCAAAGGCAAAGTGTCTGAGGAGAGAAGAGGGACACGCATTCCCCCTATATATTTTTTTTCTTCTTTCAAACTTATCAAAACGGCGCCGTTTTGGTTTTGTTTTGTTTTTTTTTAACTAGGTCTAAAACGACGTCGTTTTGGCCTTGATGTTAAAAAAAAAAAAAAAAAAGGATGGGGTGAAAACTAGTCGAGTTTCCGTCAAGGGGAGGGGCTGAACCAACCCTTCAGGCATATTTTTTGGACGAGGGGAGTGGCGGCTACCACTCCTCGCCCTCATGTGGCTTTATCACTGGGAACAAGTAATGGGTAGTTTGCGAATATGACTGATGAGAAAAAAGCTTCTTTCGTGCTTTATGAAGAAGTCTTACAACTATGTGACTTATCCTATGAGCAATAGTAACGCTAATGCATTATATCGACCACCGATGCGCACCAATATTGAACTGCCTCTAATTTTGAACTCGGCCAGTCCGTGCCCACCACTAATTTTAAGCTTTGCCACCTCAACTTCTTCCATCATTATGAATGTCATTATCTCATTTTGTTTAGAGCAATTCCACCCCAAGAAAATAGCTTCGCCTATTAGGCAATTCAATCCCCCAACCTCTTGAAAACCACTCCAGCCTTACCCAATTAATTGGGCTCTAGGAGAGCTCGACTCCACACATGGGCTAGAATTGCCTAATCTACATACTGAGTGGATCTATCGTCAGCCTAGCGTCTGCCACCTTTTTATATTTTTTCTACCCGGTGCATGAATTACACATGAGAGAAGTGGCAAGTGGCTTGACAAGAAAACAGGACTGGGGCCACCGGGCAGGTGCACTCAGCCCATCCATGAAGTTCATATAGTGAAGATATGTTAATCATAAGTAAAGGGACAAGTAAGTTCTCCAATACAATTATTATCCTAGTGATTACCCATAAGAAAATATCAAAGTGCCAAAAACTGATAAATTTTTGTTTTTTTTTGTTGAAAGAAAAAAAAAAAAAAGAAATTATGTAAACGATTTCCTGCCAAGCAAACTCCAACCAAACCATACTATTTACATATTGGTTCAGTTATGAAGCATAGGCCCAATGCACAAATTGAAGGCCTGAGGGCCTGGGCTAATATCTGAAACTGCAATTTGGATCTCTGTTTGGAGTTCTCAGCCACACTGGGTTCCCGAAATAACATTGTATTGTCAAATCTGCACCTGCAATAATCCTAGGGCTGCCAATGATACGCGTCGCAATCCAGTGATGCATTTAACCGAAAAATAAGTAACATGTTTGACTTATTGGTGAAAGTATCTTATTGAAGAATGTTTAAGTATGCACTGGTGTATATTGTACGTTAAAATCCTCAAACGTTGAAATCGTTGAGTCATTTACTTGACATTTAACTACTTCGATACATGCTATATATCTGAGCATACTAAAGTTTTTGTCCTAACGTTAATCCCGAAAGAAAAATGCTTTTGTCTATAAACCGAACCGAAAAGTAAAACGCCGAACCAATGTATTGGTCACAACGTCGCAAAGGAATCTCCACTGTAGAGTGACAACGTCGCAAAGGAACCTTCGCTGTAGAGTCTGACAAGCACGGCAAAAATTGGAATATCAAAGTTTTAGAATCTAGTTAAAGGCTGCCTGCCTCCAATCTCTGATCTCCACCCCCATTTTTGGGTCTGCAATGCATGGCTTTGGAATATCGTCGGTGCTAACGCTAGCTATTTCCAATAACTCAAACTCTCGTGTATGAAAGATTGAAGAAAAATTACTCTCCACACACTTAAGTATTTTCTAGATGTAATCTCAACTACAACCATGAACGATCAAATAATCGATCTGCCCTAGATTCTATTTTTTTTTTTAACGAAAAGATAGCGGTTTTATTATAATAATAAAAACTTACACAAATATTAACAAAGATCTTTTGAAAAAAATCCAAGAAGTTCTCAATCCAAAGAGACTTCAAGAAAATATAAAACTCCAACTTGGCCAAACTAGTCTCCCATTTCCATTAGCACATGTATAAGTGGAGATTAAGATTTTGTATTTGTTGAAGTGCTATCATTAAGGTATTTAATTATAGATATGCAGTGACATTAATGAAGACTAATGGAGATATGAGTACATTGAGTAGTAAACTATGCAAGTTCCCGAAGTATTGATCAGAAAACGAAAAGGAGTTGTTAAATGCACTTTGAAATAGTCATCTTATACAGTTCATTAGTGAATTAAGAGATTTCAAAATGACTATGTTAGAGTGCTAATAAAACCTCTCAAATGAAATGTATAGGGTATTTTAGTATCAAAAGATAACTACTTAGTAAATATCATGAATTGCCACGTTGCTAAATCCCAAGATGCTAAGAACTTCTATAACAACTCATGCAATAATTTGTTAAAACCATGTAACATATGAACCCATTCTTGTCCAATTTGATCCACCATCAGCCCTAATTGAATACTCATTAAAAATGTATAAGAGGTTAAATCAATAGCTTACGAAATACAATGTCTTTCTTCGTTTATCAGACATAAAATATCATTTATGCCACTACAAATCCAATATGCTTACTTAAAATTAAAACTTAAAACAAACACCAAAAACTTAGAACAAAATTAAAAACTTCAAGTTGATCGTTTAAACAACACATTCCCAAAAGTAACAAGTTGTTACAAAAATTGAATAGAGTTCAACATGTTTTAATTGCTCAAATGGCATTGGGTGAAAACCTCAAGTTGGTACTTTGGTGCGTAGCATTATATATATCCACGGAGGACAAGCATAGTGCCACGTAGGGTGGGCCAATCCACGACCGGACCCATTTGGTGCACAGGGCCTCCCTCCAGTCCTCCCTCCTCCTTCGTATGGTCCGCCAATCCCGCTGTTTGACACGTTTTTGTGCTTACCGGTTCAATCCCATTATCCCAAGATACTCTCCGGATCTCTTCCACTAAAGGCTACCGAATTAAGTGATTCGGGTATTTGAAGTTTCATCAAACGATAAAATTTTTTTACACCTTTTAAGGGATCAAAACAAGTGGACAGTTGGATGAAACTTTAAAAATCTGAATCATTTGATCCGGTGATTTTGGTGAAAGAGATTTGAAAAATATCTCTTTTCATTCCACACCACTTGTCCAATCACATTTTTCAACTCGGATGGTGCTACTCGTTTATTTTTACTTTTCATATATTTTTTTGTTTTTTGACATCAGATTAAAAGAATTGAATAAATTTAACGAATAAAACTTAACATCCGAGCGTGAGAAGTTAAAAAGGTACAGAAACGTTGGATTTACCTCACTCGGTTAAAAATCAGACTTTTTGCTAAACTCTAATACAGAGTTGCCATTTAAATTTGGGGCTTTTGGATCTAGGTCCAAAAACATAGATAGTTTTTGGGACCGAGTCCAGTTATCCAATTACATATTTTGATATCAATTTTACTCTTTCAGATAAAAATATTTAAATTCTTTAATTTTTTTTATCATTTATTCAGTTTTTAAATTTTGAATATTTAAATACTCAAACTTAAATATTATCTAGTAACTACCTACTATTTATGAAGAAAACAAGACCGATATAATCTAGTAACTACCTACCTATTGTATAGGAAGAAAATGTTTTATACCTACAAAGTAGATATAATCTACCTGCAAAACAAAAATAAACTACCTATTGTATTGGAAGAAAAATGCTGGCAACCTACATGGCGGAACATAAAAATATAAATATGATATAATATACCTCCATTAAAGGAACGGATTTAGAGGGAATAACACAAAAATATCACACATGAAAAGAAGAGACAAAAAAGAGGAGGATTGATAGAAGGAATTGTTTGGAAGAAGGAAAAAAGGAGGGATGAAACAGACTGGGGGTTGAGGTGATTATACGGCTATAACTAATCCTACAATTAAGGGATTAGTTAAACCACAAATTATCTCATAATTAAGAAATTTTGTGTATTTACTACAATTCGTAAGCCTAAGGGGTAAATATGGTACAAACCATAAATAAACATACATGGAATCTCAATTATTGGACATATTTCAATGAAGTGGACTAATTCTACTAATGGCTCACAAAATTGGATCTATATCAAGTTATCCCTTTAAATTTTTGGTCAAAGTCTTTCCAAAGTTAGAGAGAGAAGAGGAGAGAGAGAGGAAGGCAAAGCCGGCTCTCTTTTATTTGAGCTGCTCCGGTTCACTGCCCCATTTAATCACAGATTCTTTTTTGGCACCCAAAAGGATATTTCTTTTTGCTTCCTCTTTGTTATCGTTTATGGTGTTTGTGGACTTGGATTCGTTTTGCTTTTGTCCCCTTTAGTTATATCGTCTGCATCTGCTTGCCCTGATCGCTTCAACAAACGCCAAGAGAGAGAGGGAGGCGAGAGAGTTGCCGTTTGGATGGCCCTCAGATGATGAGGTGGTTGTAAAAACTGGGATTGGAAGATTGGAAGAGCAGCCTCCTCTCCTCTGATTGAGCTTTGGGTTCATCTGGGATTTTAATAAAGTTTCAATCTTTTGTATTGGTAAACAATTAAAATAAGGTTTTAATTGGATTTGGGGAAATGGGTTGTTTTCCTTGTTTCGATTCGAAGGAGGAGGAGAAGCTGAACAATCCAGCGGCAGAAATTGATGACAGAAAGCAGGTTCAACCAACGGTCTCTAATAACATTTCAAGATTGCCTTCTGGTGAGTTCTTGATTGCTTCTGTTTATCAATCCTTATTGTTTGGTAATTTAAATGTGTTATTGCTCGATCTGATCTGGTTTTTTTTTTTTTTCCGAATTTAAACTTAATTGTTTGTTTTAGTCATTTGGGTGTGTGTGTTACTACATGATTGATTACTTCATTGAGTTTGTGAGCTCTAAATTTGAGAGGTTTTAGGTAGACCCCACAATTCATTGACATAAAAGAATGTGTCTTTCTTTTGTAAAAATTGATCTCATGATAACTTTGATTTCTCAAGATCAATCTGATTGATAATCAATGGTGTCCAAAGCTGTGGATTGTTTCATAATTAATTGAAGAACTAAGATAGATATACATAATTTGATCCAACTGATTACAGTATAACTGAATTTAGTACAGTTGTGCTTTCTATAGTTTAGAAGATGTCAATTTCGAGTATGCGTAATAGGTTTTTTCGTATTGGGGTTATGGTTTATTGAGTTTTTTTGCAAATCCAATTGATTTTCGGTTTCCGGTGTTTAGCTTAACTCAAGGTCCTATTTGATCAAGGATTTGGAGTTGAGACGGAGATGGTTGATGATCATTGATACTTGGTGATCTGTAGTAATTTGATATGGTCGTATATGCAGGAGTAGACAGACTGAGATCAAGAAGCAATGGAGGGTCCAGGGGGGAGCTGCCCAAATTGCCTGAGCCCAAAGATGTTGTACCGGGGGGGCAAATTGCTGCTCAAACTTTCACTTTCCGTGAACTCGCGACTGCAACAAAGAACTTCAGGCCAGAGTCTTTCATAGGGGAAGGGGGATTTGGGCGTGTATACAAGGGGCGACTCGAAAGCACTGGTCAGGTAGTTCTTTTGCTGTTGCACGATCTATTATTTATACAGAGAACAGGAATTACAGGATGAGTATTTGAATTGAAACGAATATTAGCATATTAGATGCTGTAACTGTATAGCTATCAAGAATGCTATATTTTGTTTTGTGATTTCAACAATAATGAGAACTAAATAACGGCACTGCTATATCGTGAGCGAGAATTGTAGACTTACATATCAACATCATTACTCATAATGATGGTTGTTAAAGTCCATACAGTATTTAGAGTGTAATAATTCTTGATTCTGTATCGTACTTTCCAGTCCATCTCTCCATGTAAGACATCAAGGTTATAAGGTTATAGGATGTTTATGATATCCATTGTTAATTATTACATTTCGAAAAGGTCATTGCTCTGCAGAACGATTTCGCAGAACTAACTTCAGGCATGGTTGAGGCGATTTTGAATTCTTGACTTTGTATCGCCATTCACAGGTGGTTGCTGTTAAACAATTGGATAGGAATGGACTTCAGGGCAACAGAGAATTTCTTGTTGAGGTTCTCATGCTCAGTCTTCTGCATCACCCTAATCTAGTGAATCTTATTGGGTACTGTGCTGATGGAGACCAGCGGCTTCTTGTTTATGAATTTATGCCCTTAGGATCATTGGAAGATCACCTTCACGGTAACTTTTCCTCTTCGTTTCCCCTTCTTCTCTTGTCTTATTGTCTGTTTCTCTAATTAGGAACTTTTTACTTTATAATTTCTTCCATTAATGTCAGCTAGTGGATAGTGATCATGGAAAATCACCTTGTAGTTTTCAGTTATGTTATATATGAACACTTCCTGTTCTGCAAATATGACAAATACATTTGATGCATGCTATGCTGAAGTGATTTTTCAACCTTGAAGGGATATATTTACAGAATTGGAATGAATGATGAAGTTTGATGTTTTGCATACGGTAATAGAAGTATTTTCTTATATCAAAAAAAACCCATGGTAAAATGGAGAAAAGGAAAAAGAAACATTTCCTTTCGGGGGCGTTGTCTCCAAATAAAATTTGATGACTTAATAAATTATAAACACAGTGCACGCAACTTCTGTTTTTCCTGTGTTATTGGACCGTTAGTTTCCCTAACAGTTAATCCAAGTGATCGTTAATGAATCACCTATAATGGTTTGTTGATCCCTCTGCAGATCTTCCACCTGATAAGGAACCATTGGATTGGAACACACGAATGAAAATAGCTTCCGGTGCAGCCAAAGGATTGGAATACCTGCACGACAAGGCAAACCCTCCGGTTATTTACAGGGACTTCAAATCATCCAACATATTGCTGGAAGAAGAATTTCACCCTAAGCTTTCAGATTTTGGGCTTGCAAAGCTTGGTCCCACCGGAGACAAGTCCCATGTGTCCACAAGAGTTATGGGCACTTACGGTTATTGTGCTCCTGAATATGCAATGACTGGTCAATTGACGGTAAAGTCAGACGTATACAGTTTTGGGGTAGTGTTTCTGGAGCTGATTACTGGACGTAAGGCCATAGATAGCAACCGGCCCCATGGAGAACAGAACCTTATAACTTGGGTAATTTTCACTTTGTTTCTTGTAGTAGAAATGCTCTAAGAAACTTATCTTCTTGTTGTGCAGGCCTTGTGGGTCTCGCAAGCATGGGTTCTATGTTTGTGCAATAATTAAATGGCAGTGGTTTTATGTCTATGCAGGCACGTCCATTGTTCAATGATCGAAGGAAGGTCGCGAAATTGGCAGACCCAAGACTGCAGGGTCGGTATCCAATGCGGGGTCTCTACCAAGCTCTAGCCGTGGCATCCATGTGCATCCACGAACAGGCTGCCACACGACCTCTCATTGGGGATGTGGTTACTGCTCTGTCGTACCTAGCCAACCACTCTTATGACCCTAACTCAGCTTCAGGTAATGGCCACAGAGGTTCGGGAGAAAAAAATGAGAAAAGGCACAGGGATGGTGGAAGGATATTGAAGAATGAGGAAGGGGGAGGATCCGGACGGAGCTGGGGGTTAGATGGTTCCGAGAAGGACGATTCCCCAAAGGAAACTGCAAGGATGTTGGATAGGGAACGAGCGGTTGCTGAGGCCAAGATGTGGGGAGAGAATTGGCGAGAGAAAAGACGACAGAGTGCACAAGGCAGTTTTGATGGCACCAACTAGTGCTGTAGTGCACAATGCACCGTCTTCTTCAACCTCAGCTCCTACCCTCGTTTTTTCGCAGACTGGTTTGTTTGGGGTGTCCAATGTAACGGAGAGTTGGTGCAGACGAACGTGTGTCGTGATTTAACCTTTTTTCTTTTCCTCTTCTCCGAACACTGAAGAAGAAGAATCCATAAATGGAAATTGTACATTATCTTCTAGAAGATTGAAGGAGAACAGAAGAAAGTGGATGTATTGAAAATTTTTGAGAGTAAAAACGTCTGGTTAAATGCTATACGATTCTTCTGCCTGCTGTACTTTAGCATATTTGGAACAAAACAAAAAAATCTGTTGTCCCTGCTCCTGTCTTATTCAACCTTATTATTATCGAGTGTTTTCACACGTTTCTTTGGTAACGTGTTCATACATGTTCGAGTACTTTCTCTTTCGTTATCAAGGAAACGGGATCAACTTGCGGTTTGCCCTTTTTTCCTGCTGCAAAATGGGGTGTCTTTCTCGTCCACTCATCAAATTATTTCTCTTGATTAAGTTTAAGGGGCATCAAGATCAAAGTGGTCACTTCGGGACGTCCTATAAAATTGGAACGAACAGAGAAGGGGCATCAAAGTGTTTTGAGCCGAAGGATGTGAGAGAGATTTAAGACCTATGGTTTGAAGGGGTTAGGGGGTTATTGTTGTACCCATAGTTATTTTTACTATTTTCTAGTGAAATTTTTCAAAGAAGATCACCAAATTGGATGCAAGCACAGTTAGCTGGATCACTATATATATACTTGTTGATTTTGGGAGAATTTTGATATTTCTTTTACGTTTTGATTTAAGACATGTGAAATTTACTTTGCTTGAAAAGTGATGAAATGATGGAATTTTGAAGTGTCAAAAATTGGGGTAGATTCGCAAGTCGTTCAAGTTGGTTGTATCAAATTGTCCACCGTTAATTTTTAGCCGTTCGATCGTGGCAATTAAATGAAGGCAGATTGTGCAGTTGGTAGATTGATGTTTTGAGAGTGTTTGGACATTAGATCAGTAAAGATTATGTTTGGAGAAACGTTCCTTCTACGAAGTTGAAAATGACGTTTCAAGCTTTCCATTGATATCTCTGGACCGAATTCATACTGATTTGGTCGGTCAAAAGGTTAATTTTTTGAGCAGTCCAAATCCGCATTAGATTAGAAATCTTTATTTTATTGTTTTATTTGGTTTTCCAGATTTGTTGGGAGACCTATTTTAGATAGGATTTGAATTGATCTACTATTTACAGACGATTTAGTTATTTATTTATTTTTTAGAAACTGGAAATTCATTACTGAGCAAAGATGTCAATAAAACACTAAAAGCCTACATCGAGGCAAACAACAAGCAAGTCACATAAAACCGAGCAGTGCAGGGATATACAAGAGAGAAAGACACTGCACCGATTTCAGCCATAGAGTTTCTCAGGAACAGCTTTGCTTGGGAGAACTCGGTTTTGAGACTTGACGATTTATACTTGATTTCACAAGGGTGTTTTTCCTTAACTTTTCATCTTAATAATATTTTGATATTCAATTATGACTAGGCATAAATAATTTTCATTTACCACGGTGAGGCCGCAAGCCTTAAAATGGATATGTAGTTTTTTTTCTTTCAATTTGCTTATGATGTTATGCATACTTGCTTTGAATTGTCAATCACTGATTTTAAATTATCTATGTCTTAATGCTTAGCTACCATTAGGATGTTTAGACAAGTAACTGTATGTAATTTTTGTTGGAATATCACCCTGAAATTGGTTAAAGCTTCTTGTCGTTGGGAACTGTAAGTCACTTAAGGCGAATATCAAGCTCTTAAGGGTTACATTATTTTTCAAAGGGTTTTCACAAAACTTAATTATTCTTGCATGTTTATATTTGATCTGAATATCACGGACAGATTGCATGTTAGATATACGTTCTAGCTTGAATATCAAAAGTAGAATATGTGATGAGTCGATGTTATGCTATATATATATATATATATATATATTTTACCTTATTCTTAGTTATAATTTATTGGTTATTTTGGTAGAATTTTGATACTTTTAAGTATATTTTCAATGTAGGACACTCGACATCCTCTTGAGTAAAAAGTATTCAAACAGACAAATTTTAGAGTAATTCCAATTGGAGAATGTTCGTGTGTCTTTCAAGATGATTGTGTCAAAATTTCAGATTTTTCTACCAGTATGCACTAGGAAAATCTAACCTTCAAAGCTCGTATGTGTTAACTCAAAGAACTATATATAATTGTTAATGGTGACGGTAAAACCTTAGTGCTTCTTAGTCTTAATTCTCTAAAATTGATTTTTATAAATTTGTTTTCTTATTTTCATTATTGTTGGTATCAATACTTTTACTTATTTGCACTTATTATTTTTCATAATAGTCATTGAGGAGAACGACCTTACTTGAGTCGTTTATACTATAATTGCCTTGTTCTCTTCTAAATATTTCTATGTTATTTTAACCTAATTATGCCGGTGGTAAAAATCTTATCACTTGAGTTCTTATGATTGTTATTTTTGCTTGTGTGTTGATTTATCTTCTTTACGGTTGGTTTTGGTGCATTGTCATCATAGTCTATGATAACAAGCTCTTAATAAAAATTCTGTGCGGTAAAAAGTTAATGAGGCAAATTTATAATTACCCTATTACATTATAAGGTTTACAACGATTTAATATAACTCATATTGAAGTAAAATATATTTTCTAACTCCTTATTTAAATTTCTCCATAGTTATAAGACATTCATGTTCACATCTCTCTCATATTGATCAACACAATTGTAGTCTGTTTATTAAAGCATGATTTTGGTATAGTAAATCGTACCGTAACTGTTTGGGTTAATATTTGAACGTTGGGCTGCAAGTGTGTGAAAGCTTAGAGGTGCCAATTAAGAGAAGACTTGCCCGAAGTCCAGCATCAAGCCCAGAGACAAATTGGCGTCTTCCCATTAATGCATAGGCCATGTGTCTATGATTTAAATGTCAAGTGATGGGGACTAACTCACAATCAGCCAAAAAACACTTTTCAATGGCAATACAAGTAAAAACCTAATGACTCACTACCATCTAAGCGTTTTCGGGTAAGAGCAAAGTTATTACAATTGGGCTAATCTGCCTATAAAAGGAGGAAGAGGCCCCAGAGATAAAGACACTCAACCAATCAAACAAACAAACATACAAACTTTACCCTTAAGCCAAATTTGCATCTAAAAGCTATAATCAGCCCAGTTCTCAGTCATTTTCAGGTATCTCCCTTACAAAAGCTATCTTTTGTCTTGTTTAGAAGCTTTGCTATCACCCTTAATGGCGTAATATCGATTCCCTCGTGTAAACTGGTTTACCATCCCTTTTTGGCATAAAAACCTCTATAAACTCAAAGAGATTTGATTGCAAGAAGTTCAACCTTGCCCGATAAGGTGAAATCTTGCTTAAAGTTCTTTGTGTGTTTTCTAAGATAATAGATCTACTGCTTAATGTATTCTCCAGCATGTATTCAAGTAATTTCCGCCTGTTTTCCTACTTTAAAAAGCCTTATTTGTATCTGGATCTGGTCAGCTTAACGGACATGCTTTCATTTAAAACCAATCAAGAACCAAACAAATGACTTAAGGGATCTGGACTCCCCTCATTCAAATATACAAGACTATGAATTGAAAGTCCTTGGTCACAAGGCAAGAAAAGGAACTTAATGTGGACTTAACCCATCCACGACAATCCTTTGATAACAAGAAGTCTGAGTAACTTGGGGCGCAAGTAATCGACCAAACACAATTGTGTTCTACATCTGCTATACTGAGATAGCAGTGGCATGCCTAGCACTTAGTTAATTTTGATTGCGAGCCTCAAGGCCTACACCTAAGGCCCCACAAAGGCACCTTTCAAAACTAACTTTGTCCTCTTCTTGCAGCACATCAGCAGGCAAGAGCCCGACTACACATCCAAAGTGCCAGTCCCTTGGGGAGTTGTGCTGAGAGACGATGAGCCCTCTCCGGAGAAATCTTTGCCCGAACAGTAACCAATATCATACATAGAAGTAGCCTACTTGCTTATTACATATCAATTATTGTGTGACAAGCTGGAAATTGATACATCATCTATTGCATAATTTGATAATAATGTTCTAAAAATGTGAACCGTAGAGCATGGTTTCTGTTGTCCTATGATGTTTGACATCCTCACTTTACCGATCTATGCACTAAATTTCAAACTTAATATCAATCTTAACGCGTAAGCAACAAAGTTTCTTGCCAATCCGCAGGATATTCGGAAATATATATGCACCCTCACAACCCGTGAGATAATTGTGTCAAAGGCCTTCACGCAAACTCCACCATTGGCTTCTCCAACTGCAATCTGGCGCTCATATCTCAACTTTGAGCCCAATTATTTCGATCGATTGCGGCAATCAATTAATTAGGAAAATACGAAATTAACATATAAGAAATATGAGAAACCTATTATGTGTATTGGGAACATTGTCATGTCAAGATTTTAGAATCGGTTTATGATCATTCTTAATTACACTAACATTACCTCAACCTAAACACTTATATTTTAAAGAGTTATATATCTAACAATATTAGGTTTTATCATAAAGGCATTGGTACAATTAAAAGTGGAATCATTTGATATAATTTGTAATATATTCTATGAAGTTTTCAATGTGGAAATCTATTCTTCAACACTCGCCCATCGTCTAAGTCAAGATTTCATATTCGAGCTAGTGACCAACTACTAATCGTCTTGTCGGATTTTTTTTCACAAAATGTCTTTGTACAATTAGAAGTTGAATCATTCAATTAAATTGTAATTTATTTTGTGAATTTTGATATGTGAGACTCTGTATATTCTTAATACTTGACTATTTCAAGTATTATAATATGAGTGGACTTGATATATGTTTCACTTTTAAGACTACTAATATAAATAAATATACGTGTAATAATTTGTGTGAAACAGTATTTCAAATAAACCCAAATATTACCAGGGAAATAAAGGACATAAATTAAGCATACGTCAATTGATATTAATAATGAGTATTATTCAAAGCCAAGCGCAGATAGATGTAGCTTTCCAGCCCACAATTACTTTACATCGCTGAGAACCGCCAGAGTCCCCACGCATGGAACTGCCATTTAATAATTAATTAAGGGACAATTAACCAAAAAACATAATATAACAAGATCAGATAACATCTTGGCGTGATAAAGCGTCTGCTGCTGCTACACATCAAACGGCGCTCGATTGATCGTAGTTTTTTTCTTTCCGAGAAGTACGACATACGACTTTGCCAGCATCACACTGCAGATGATGTTTCATTAGGCTGAAGCTCGACGGAAGCATTTTCCACATGACGATGATCATCCGTTCGTTCATGCTCCTTTGCGTCTCTAACGGCGGCGTTATTATTAACATCGGTGTCATTGTTACAATTGTTCGGTTGATCATCCACCGGATGAACCTCGGAAGCTGCTAATGTGGCTATGATCACAATGTTTTTCACGTTCTCATGTGTAGCAGCCGGTAGCTTTTTCTCATGATCGTCTATTATCACCTGTTCTCGGTTTCGGCATATCCCATACAGCAGAATCTGAAGCAGTCCCAACACAAAACCCAGAACGTTTGGAATCTACAAGTGACAAATTAATTGTGGTTAATACTGTTATTATATAGGGATGATTGATTTGAAAAAGGATTTAATTTAGTGTACGTATACTTACTACAACACATATGTCCTTGAGGAGCAATCCATATGCAAACCACATAACGGCACTCAATGTGAGGAAAAATGACAAGCCAAATGGCATAAATTCCACACTTCTTGTTCGGATAACCTGTGCCTGCAATACAAATAATAAATTGAATGAATATGTAGTTATAGATATGCGCTAGGGATGCAAGTAAAATTAATTATAAACTGTTACGGTTCATATTGCACCTAAATTTAGTATTTTATTATCTTAATACACTTAAAAAATAATATAAAATAATAAACTGAGAATGTGAAGAAAAGGAACACTAACAAACAATAGGGTCATGTGTATGCATGATTGATTCACTTACCACAATGCTTAAGGGCGCAACAAAAACACCGGTAGAAATGGCAACATTAATCCATCCAAGAATTGGGACCCGGTATGCACTCCCCACTAGAAAGTGAGAAACGATAAGGATCATGGTGAAAAGTCCCACATTCATAATACCAAATAGTTTCACTGTCAACTTCTGCACTCAGTAAATTTATGGAATTAGAACATAAATATATATATATATATATGCATATATAGAGAGAAAAATAAATATTAAACATGAAATATACGAACCCTAGCTTCCTTTGGTGCATAAACAACGAACATGACGATGTAGATGATCTCTACAAAACTTCCGAATGAGTTAATGGTGATGAGCATCATAGCATTCGTTTTTACCAACGCATAGTAGAACCAAAGCATGGAACTGAACAATGCTACCAGATATGGCACCGAGTGGAATCCTTCCGTTGATTTTTTCCTGTAAATTCGATAAAATGTCGGCCTGCATTTAATAATTAACAAGTTGGTTATATGTCTCTCTATACACACACACAATATATATATTCCTTTTATCAAAAATAAAAAAAAATGTGTGTATCACTTACACTGGGGATAAGTAAACCATGGCTGATATTAGATTTCCTGGCATCATCAAAAGAAATAATATTAGTAGTGGTCATTCAGATGGAACTTTCTTAACTACCAAAAACTTTTAATTAAAATAAATAACACTTTCATTCTCTATATATTTATTAGTGGGTAACATAATATATAGTGGTGAGGAAGGTTGATCATCAAAGATCACACTGATTTACAATGTTACTTAACATAAAAACTTACCTACAAATTAACAAGTAAAAATTGGACAACTAATCTTTGAATAGTGTACATACAAAGAAAATTTATTGTCGCATGGTTTGTAAATATATGTATTTAGCTAGGCTTTTCTGTAAAGAAAAAGTGGTCATTTCAGACAATTCACAAACGGATCCGAAAAAGAATATGGCCAAGATGATGACCAAGATTAGATAACAAATGCGGGCCAACTAGGTTTCAAAGGTGTCATAACTGAGAGAAGAATATGACAATAACAAACAAGATCACGTATGTGGCACTCAAACAAATACATATGATCGAACACCAAAAATGACACTACACGTATGTGGCACTATATCGTGTTTGTTCTGCTCTTTCATTTGGTACACCCAGCTAGCTAGTTCCCATCACAATAACTCACCTTCTTCAAATAAAAAATTTCATGGAAACAACTAGTATTTAACAAGCCACTCGCAGTTAATTTAGTGGAAAGGATGAATAGGGTGATCGGTAGATGTATGTTAAGTACAGAGTTCGAAACTCTCTAATGTAACAAAAATTAAAAAAAAAAAAAAAAAATCTCAATGAGTAATGTACACCTACATATGCATCTTTTGTTTACCTAGAATTCCAAATGTAAATGCCAAGGGATGGTGACTGTCTGCTACTATAGCCATAATCTCTCTAGATCTGTAAACCCTAACTAAGAAAACTCAAACTGATAATATCTCTCTCTCTCTCTCTCTCTCTCTCAACGGAAATTAAGAGGGTGATATTTATGTAGAAGAAGCTAAGGAGGAGGACTCAGTTGGTGATGAGAAACCCTAGAGCTCTCTCTATCTCTTCCTCTCAACTTATCATGCAGAGAAAATTAAAGGAAGACTAGCCGAGGATGGTCGATGGGTTTACGCAGCGTGTTAATTTATATACACAAAGTGTGAGAAAAAGAATTAGGGTGTGCGTATTGAACTCATTCATGTTGCATGACAGATGGAGGATTAGTAGGTGGTGTACCATAAACTCATTCACTGAGCCACAAATTTTAAGTCCCACGTGCCCCACCATCGCGTGCCCGTTACCTCCGTCCAACGGCAATAAAAAAAAAGCTAGAGCATTCACCATACTTCTTGACACTACTTTGGATAAGAATTAGGATCCAAATCATCACCATAATTAATCAAATAATTAATCTCACCATAAAACGAATTAGAAAGAGTTATAGCTTAGTTATGGTTAATCGGCAGTAATTTACTAAATGTTTTATGAGTTTTTCTAATAAAACATGGATTCCACGCTCCTTAAAAAAACTAGCGGCTTCTTCCTACTAAAATATGAGTATGATTTTTACGTTACTCTTTCTCGCAACGCAAAGCCGTCCTGATGATAGTAGAGCCCGATTCACGTGATTTCTCTATCTCTAATTCCAAGCACTACTGCATGCTTTATGGCCATTGGCGATTCGAGCCGTTTCTCTCCATCTTCAAAAGCCCTAAATGAAACACGCCTTGCCGCGTCAGCCCTAGTTGTAACTTGTAAATTCTCACGAGTCACACAGATAAGAAATTAATTTGCATATGTACGCTGAACACTTCCCACAAAGTGTAACATTTGACGTGTTACATAAGAGTATATGACAATATTGATATGATTAAATCTAAAAAATAAATACACATGTCATAATTTTAATAGAATAATAATATGACATGCGGTATTATACATACAACGAACAAAATCTTCAAGCCTAACAAAAAAGTATTCACATTCACAAAGCTTATGTTCCATGCCGTTGAATATTTGTTTGGTAGTGCTTAACTTTTCATGCAATATTTACAGGGTCTCGTGTGCATCGGGGGATCGTCTCACTGACTTTTTTCTTCTTCAAGTAATCAAATTCCACAATCCAAGCAGGCTGGCCACCTTTTTTTTATATTTTTTGCGGTTATGAGATGGGAAGAGGGAGGGAACTAATAAGTTCGGACAAAAGAATTTAATTAAATATGAGCCACAAGACAATCATGATGTTGTTGCTCGTTCTTGTCTCTATTATTGGTTGGGATTCAAGAATGCTAGGTGGATACAATGGGAGCCTTTGGACAGATTGCCATGTACATGGCCATTTCCAAGTTCCAACGACGTTCATTATATGTGATTTGATTGGCATCTTTTCTTTTTTGGAGTTCACATCCTTTATAAGCTATGTTATTTTAAAAATATTAGACTAACAACTCGTCATTCATCAGTGAAAACGCGTTGTACGTGCAATAAAATTGGAACAAGTTTTATAATTGCAGCAACTCGTCATTGATGAATGAGAAAATAAAAAGAAATGCCACCTTCTAATTTTAGAAAGAAAAATTCAACTAAACTAAAAGCTAGTTAGTATGTACGTTAAGTTTTCAAACTTTTAATTTGAGCCGTAAACAAAATTGTGTTTGATTAGTAATCTAGCTAGATATTGATATTTTGCCAAATTCGAGAAAGAGAAGTTTTTTTTGGAGTGTGTTATCCACACATCATTTTTCACTTCTCACACATATTTTGTTAATTTTTTTATTTTGATCTTTTTTAATTCAGTCGATTCAATGGTCGCAAATTAAGAGGGTGTGTATGAACGGGTGTGTGGATGACACACCCCTTTCTTTTTAAGGAAAACTGATGAAAATGGCTTGAAAACTTTGAGTTTTAACGATAAAGACAAAGTAAAAGAAAAAATAAATACTATCAAAATTAATTTTTAGTATAAAAATATGATTTTTCGTTAAAATAAATAGTATCACAAACTTTTCTTTAAATTCTCTTCTTTATATCACCCAAAAGCCAAGTATAGGAGAGTGTGCTGACTTTATGACGTTATAGTCCTTAGCCCTCCTGAAATGATTTGGGCTTTCTATTTCATGATCATTGAAAGGAAAGTATGATTCTCTCCTATCTTTTGTTTTCTCTTCTTTCCTTCCCTCCTATTTGAACGGTGATGGTTAAATTACATCAATATCTTATATTAATTTTTTATAATAAGAGAAAGACAAAATAAAAAAATATGAAAGAAGGGAATGAAAACAAGAGGGGAGAGAATCCTAATCCCATTGAGAGACCAATAATGCAGTGATATCTACTAGCTAGCTACCTCTCACTCCTTATAGGATATATATAAGGGGATGTCAATTTAATCTTGAATTCGCATAAACATAATTGGCATTTATCTCATGTCCGGCGGCCAGCTAAGCGAACACCTAACCCTGAAGTTGCCCTGTCATTCATGTATCTCCAAAAGAACCACACACAAAAAGAAGAAAACGAAGAAAATATTGAGGAATACCACACACTATATGAATGATTCATCATTCATTTATGATTGCTATTTGTTGTCGACGTCATCGAAACTAAAACTGCCATTGTTATCAACAGGAGTAGGCTTACATACGTATATTGACAAACATGAATATTGCCATGATTTTCATCCTCATGTACTGTGCTTGAATGAAGTCACACACTACGTTCTATCGACAAAAAAATAAAAAGGTTTAAGTAACTAAAATCTTTAATTTTTGAATGTCATTTTTAATTGGTCTCAACCTTTTTAAATATTTTAAATAAGTACCCAATTTATGGAAAATGTAACATACATTAAGCCTCAATTAATTTTTTTTTTATTAGATTAACTAAAGCTTACTTTGTCTCTAAAATCAATAGAAGGTCATGGAAACATGACCTCCACCAACTAACGGTCACCACCACCTCCATCAGACCATCAGTCCAAACGCAACGCACATCCACCAACTCCACCCTACAACTCAAGCTGCCAACATCGACAAGAAGGTTATGAGGGTTGCTGAAATGGTATGAACTGCCATGATGCGGCCCATAAAGAAGAATTGGAAGCTTTACGAGCCAATGATTGACAAATGAGGAAAATACATGAGCAAAAACAAGCTCCGTGAAATCGTATCAGAATTCTTAACCCTCTTCTTTGTTAGATGATTACCCTCCTGTTGTAATTTCAATTTGGGTCCATTTTCGATTCGATTCAATTCAATACTCGTTTGATCATGGGGTCTCATATTATATAATCTATGTTTTAAATTTTGATTTTGAGGCAACTAATTAATGTTGACCATGATACCTAGTTGGTGGGTTTTGAATATAAAGGTTGGGATGGGGTTTCGATGGTCATAGGTTGAGATTGGAAGTGGCTGGGACTTGATATTTCCCCATTTTCATTTTAGTTTTTCATTTTATTTGTGAATTTGTTACTTATTTTTATATCTCCATGTCTTTTTTATTATTTTAGTGTCCACGTAAGCTAAAAAGTGGAACCTATTGTTGTCACACGTACATCCAATGGAAAAAATTAACTGAGCCTTAATGGATATGACATTTTCAATATGTTGGATACTTGTTCAGTTGTTTGGAATGTTTAAAAATGTTCATACCAATTTAGAATGACACTAAAAAGTTAAGAGAGTTTTAGCTTGGTACAAGAATTACTGTAGAACTAAAAATATGATTACTTACCACCCCCCAAAACCTAGCTAAAAATCTATGCTTAAACAAGGATTTGACTTTTGTTGAAATTAAGGTGGCTAGCTTAGGTACGTACGTATACCCTTAAATGATTGGAATTGGAATAAGAGAGCTTGATATATACGTGGACGGAGTTAAAAAGTTTCTTTAGTGAGGCTGACTTTAACCTTTAATTATACTTAAAAAAAGAAAAGAAAAAGGGAACTGTTCTTCAAAAATCCTAAATACTCAAAAGTAACTTAATATAAAATTGAACCAAATTGCTAAATTAACTATTGTCTAAAAAAATACCTATGATGGCAAAAACCATGAGCTTACCAAAAAGAAAACCAAACCTAATTGCCAATGCCAAGCAGAAAACTAATGCTAATTACCGATGCCATTTTCAACACAAACTTCCACCGATGATGCAAATGCAAAATTCATATGCCAATGCTAAATTTCTTTATAAAAAAAAAAGAAAAAAAAAACAAATTGATGATGCCAATTTTAAAACAACAAACTAAATGTGCTCATTAAAGGTGACACGGATCGACATCCATTTTAGACGAAACATATTACATACTACACAGAATAACCTCTATGCAAGCATAATACTGGGACCAAATTAATTTTATAACTATAATAGAGGTGCAGTTGAAAAAAATTATTTCTGACTTAGCTATCTTCAATGAGTACAAGAAACTATATTACTAGTGGAGCATGCCAATTTTCATCTTAGATTTTTATTATTTGTTACAATATTGCATATATTTGGACTTCCTGACAACTATATGTGGAGGCAAATCTCTTAAAATGTGACATAAGTTTACACCGAAATTTTTTATGACTACATGGAGGTTATTCCGGTACAAAGCATCATTACAGATGTAATACTGCATAAAAGAAAGCTCGATACCTCCTACAATCGGAGGTGATGCTATTAACACACTTATTTTTACTTCCTACACATCATTTGTAAAATTTTGTCTATGATTTTCTTCAATTCATTTGATCCGAGGGCTGATAATTGAGAGGGGGTGTGGATAGTAGAGCCCTAATCAATATATAGTTGGATACCCTTATATTCTATACAAGGAAAGCACATTTGGGTTGATTAGTTTCATTTAATGAGCGAATAAATCATTGATTATATGGTCACGATTACTAGTTAATATGGTGATGATAATGCACTATCATCATGGATGTTTACGACATTTCATTTCTGATGCTCAGTGAGAGATATCTCAAGATTATTGGTGATGGCTTTGGCGTTGGGCTACTTTGCTTTCTAGTATTGGTGGGAGTCAGATCACCATGTCAATTAACAAAGCCAAGAGATAAGGCAAAAGGTACAGGACGACGAACAACACTATCTTCAGCAACAGGAAGCTCTCGGAT